GAATTAAGGCAAGTCACTGAAGTCATACTACTGAATGTCTGATTATAAAGATATTAAACACAGATATGTATATTTTAACACATTGCTTAATTTCGAAATATTTGTTTTCTCTCACTGCACTTCCAGATATTTTAATACAAATGGCCGTGAATATGCCCTTTTCAAGGATTTACTGTTACCCTTTATTTACTTAGAGGCAACATGAAATAGCATTTACTGTTAATTAGAATATGAAGCCTGTAACTTTTTAATTTCAGGCCATTTTTTGCTTTTAAAAGTTACTACATGTGAATTTTATTATCCATCAGAGTTTGGTGAGAGAATGTTGTCAAGCTACAGCAGCTGAAAGAACGGAAATTGATGTATACCGCTGGATTTGCATTAAAAGCACGAAATACAACTGTTGGAAATATTTTTCCGATGGGAACCAGCAATGTATTTCAGATCTCTCATTTTATATCTCTTGGGAAATGTTATATAATAATAAATACATATAGTAACAAAAAATAGGGTGATCTACAAATGAATAAAGAGTTTTCTCTGTAGGAAATATAATGCTGTATTTATGTATACCTTTAAATAACTTGACAGAATTTAAGATATTTAAAATATCACTTTAGCAGCTGACTAGCCCTGGCAAAGACTTTATTTTTGTGGATTTACTTGTTTGAGAATTTATTGCGGAGTAAATTCTAGCAGGCTAGAATCTAACTAGTGTATTCGGTTTCAAACAAATCACAATTCATCTGGATTTTGTCCAAATTCCCAAATTCTAAAATGTTATATTAATAAAACAAACAAAAAGGACAATACACAACACTGTTTTGTTTGATTCGTAATTCTGGTTTCTGGATGTAATGATTGATGGTTAATGTTAATTTTATTCACAGATCAAACGAGGAATGACCAATTTAGGGACAAAAATGAGAAACAGCAAAAAAAACACTATATTGATATATTTAATATATACATAATATCGATTAGATTACTTCTCCTTCTCTTTTTCCCTCTACTGGTTACATCTTCTCACCTCGTCTGTGAAATGGCGCATTAATGTGCAGTGTACAGTAAAATGCACACATAATTTTTATATTTCGCAGTACACTTACTGGACAATTTTCGCTCCCTTTTGGTTTGTCTGAATAATTTTTCCTGAAACATCTGCATATACGAAATTCGGCCAGCTCCAAACGCCTCATTGCACAAACCAAATTTTTCCACTATGTACAAGTCTTGTTAGAATTTAATGTCAGGAACTCAAAATGAATTCAAAGAGAACGAAAAATCATAGGTCAAAATGACTAAACAGAAAACTTACCTGGAGACTTTGGAGAATGTTACTTGGAGAATTTTTCCAGTTTGTCTCACGTACCCAAAATTTAAATATCACTTTGAATTTACCTACATCCTAAAAATGAGAATTCACAGTGAATTTCAATTTAAGGTCAAAATAACCAAACTTGAATTGCAGACAATTTACACTTCAGTGAATAACTATATATTCAGAATTTTTTGGTAAAAGACACTTAGCACATGTTTTATTGCTTGCATTGGTCAAATGGATACAGAAGGTTTATGTAGAACTCATTCTATATACGTTTTCATTTGGTGCATTACTGTACAATTACATCACAATGGTTGAATACCAGCATCTCTTTTGGGATATTTCTGCATTTTTAAGAATACTCAACCAAAGAGAATGGTCCAACCTAAAGTTTGCTTGACCTGACATTTTTATTTTTGCTTTGTTTAAAGGTTTACTTTTTTTGCCAATTATTTTAAAGGAACACTCAAAAGACTATGGTGCCAGGAGTGCAATGGAGCCCTTCCAGTGTAAGTAATCGATTGGGCTGTGATCATCTTCGGATTAAGGCTCCTGCAAGGCTAATTGCCTAACGTAGCTAAGTACAGGGAGCGTCCAGGCTACAGAAGAGGAGGCGAGCCGCACCTGGCAGACCCCAGAAAAGTTGTCAAACTTTTCTAAACAATTTGACTAGTTATACTGGGAGTGCACTGGGATAATCCTGGCACAATAAGGAGCAGGCTGGAGTAAGTATGGTGCTTGGAGAGTCCATTTAATTTAATTAATAAGAAAAGGTCAATGAAACAATGGGGTTTATGTGTAAAAAGTGTTGTGAAAATGGGAAGTACTAAAAGTGGGTCAGTCGCCATGGAAACCGGTAGAACCAGAAGGCACATTCCATTGGTAACTCCACCCCTTTTCCCATGTTTCACCACTTTTAGTGCAGACACTTTTTTATGCATTTGCAGTGTTCGCCCGGCTTTGGTTTCTCTAAACTGGATTATTATGTTATTCACTAATTCCTGAAATAGAAAATAGAGCTTCTCATGTAAAAAAAGTTAAAGGAGTACTGGAAACACCATAACTTGATGTAGTGGTTATGGTGTAAGAAGGCTCTGGTGATCTCCCAGGTTAAGTAGTAAAACTATTTGTAAATAGTTTCATAACTTACCTGGGGTCCTCCGGGCGCTGGTCTTAGTCTCCTCCTCCTAAGCCATGCACTGCATTTGTGATCATTGGTGAACACATAAATGCACATGGCCGCCATTTTGACAATAATTAGCTTGTTCTTTATCTCACAAGACCCCGGTTTGGCTCATTGTGAGAATTTTGAGGCTTGTAGGGATAATTGCCCAGGTCTAATCAACTGTAGAACTCAACAAACTCAATATATTATGAAATTTAGGTGTTAGTCCAAACAGCAAGCATGCCCTAAGTTCACCCCTCCAGTTAACATTAATATACATTAACATCGAAAAATTAGTAGAGATTTGAATTCATCACCGTTAACAGAAGGAGACAGTTTTTTTGGGGTATGATTTTCAGTAGCTGTGCTTAGGATTATTTTGCACAAAGCAAAGTAAACATACAGTTTTAATTACTTAAGAAATGTTAATCTTATTCTGACATCCATTCTTGTACGTATTCGTTTAAAAAAAAAAAAAAATAACACAGAGCAAGGTGCGTATTTAAGCCAAAAATTACAAATGTAACACTACACTTGTATCTGTCTGCACCAAGGTGCAGAAATAACACAAATACGTCCAAAAATCTTTTCCCTTTCATTCAGTGTACAACAAGTCATCACGTAGCATTCCGATGTGATTAAACCTACCTTTAACAAATAGGAGAGAATACAAAATAATGCTCTCACCATTTAAACCAAGAACCACAAAATGAAATGCGTATTCCCAGGATACCTTTCAAGTAAGTGGCCAGATCATGAGGTATATCTAAGGATAGCCTTTGAGTGTCAGTTGTTGAAATGAAAGCAGAGTTTGTTGAAGGAGCAGGGGACAATTAGAGGGTTTGGCTAATAAATAATTTCAAAAAGTAAATATAAAACGGAGGCAGGGTTTAGTCATAATTCAGCATATTCTGGCTCTCTGTCGTTAGTAGTGGAAGTGGGGAGCAGCATCTGGTTAACCCTCGGAAAGGAGTCAAATTGTTTCAAGACAGTTTGATTGTTTACAATGGGGTGGGTGTCAAGGCACTCCAGACACCATAACCACTACATCAAATTATAATGTTTACCACATTTATTAGACATCCTATTAAAGTTGTTATAGTACCTGGAGCCCTACTCCCACTGTACCCCCCTCAAAACCCAATATTAAACTAATTCGAAGACTTGGAATTGCAGCTTCAAGTCACGTCTCCAAGCCCTTGGGTATGAGAGCCAAGAATCTTTTGTCTCAACTCTTATACGGTGACATCACGCAGGCATCACGGTAAGCCATAGAATACAATGATTCTCTATGGAGAAATTGTAGGTTCATCGCAGCAAGCACTGCACATGCATCTACGTTACCCGATGCTCCTACTTCTCCCAATGATGCAACCCAAGGAGGGGCGCACGGCAGCGGCGAGGGAGACTCTGTGCTGGAGAAAAGGTGAGTAAATAATTTATTATGATTTTTTAAATTTATTTTTAAATGTTTTTGTACTGATTGGAAGGGGGCAAAACCATAAAGGGCACCAGGACTGTAGCGTTAGGAATACAGACATGAATTCTAATGCTACAGAGTACGTTTAAGTTCTGGTCAAATTTGGTGTTTTCAGAGAATGTCGTCCATTTCCTATATACGATTTCCTTGCAACACACTGTGATCTGAAGTGTTAATTAGCTTGATGAATTCCTGAGAATTTGGATAAGTTACACTGTTATATGACCCATAAAAAACAATATACATTAGGAAGAATTTTCCAGAACGAACCTTTTTTTTTTTTAACTGTTTTGGACTATCTGACTCCACTTCAGCGCATTAATGAGTTGTAAGGTAAGAGCTACATCTTTAACCCCTTAAGGACACATGACATGTGTGACATGTCATGATTCCCTTTTATTCCAGAAGTTTGGTCCTTAAGGGGTTAAAGCTGGGGTTAGTCAGTGGAACATTATGGTTGGAGAATATCTCTTAGAAGTAAGATTAGGCATGTGACGTTAGTGGCTAGATTTCAGTACTGAAAAAATACAAAATACATTACTATCATTCTTTGTCACAAATTGTAAGTGTCAAAATGTCTTCCCCAATATGGCTACTCCAAAAGGGCTCTGTGAATTCTTAAATCTTTTCTCAAGTCACCTATCTGCCTGTTGCTTTTTTGTTATCAGTGTCTCCATATTGCCTTTATATTTGGGGCCATTGTATTCTATTGCTATTGCTGAAAGCCTCCGACAGGAAGGGCTGGATTAACATAGGCTA